AGTTGACATACAGTATTATACAACTTCAGCTTCTGGTGTACAGTGCAGTGATCAAGCCTCTTCCCCATCCATGATGCAAGACACGTGACCACCTGACACCTATTTTCTCCTTCCAGCTATCATAGAATTCCTCTTCCCGGCAACGTAACTCTGGGGTGGTGAGCGTGGTGTGGAGCCAGAGGGTCTTGCCCCCAATTGGAGAAGCCTCCCCACCGCTGAGCTGTGTCTTGTCTTTTTACCTAAGCATCTTGCACTCCAAATAGAGTGTGGGTACCTGCCTAGGTAGGGGTGGGGGTCCTGACTCACACTTTGTATTCAAGCACCTAGGACAGGAATTAAACAGGATAGGCAGTCAAGAAAATTTTATTGATTACAATATATCCATAATGCCACTCAAATCCATTTTTAGAAGTAAGAGGCTCCAATTTATTCTTTATTTAGCATCGTTTGTGACCTAGGTGCTTAAGTCTTACTTATATTTTATACATAGTGACAAGCTCTAGATTTGGAGGTAAAGCAACTGGGTTCAAATTCTGTATTTGTCACACGTTAACAGTGTAGACATGGACAAGTCATTTAATTTTGTCAGTTTCTTCTGCTATAAAATGGGATACTAATACCTGTCTTAGCCCCTCACATGGCGATTGTGAGGACCAAATGCGTTAGTGTCTGTGAGAACACTTACCGAATTCTAAAGCACTGTGTAAGGGATTATAAACACTGCCTCCTTATGTGCTCCCCCTCACTTGCATCTTTTATGTTTTCATCTCTTTAAAAAGCAGTTGTTTGTGGGCAGGTATCACTTAGCATTCTCTCTGTAGCATTCCATCTTAACCCTTAGCACAGGATGTTGCACACAGCTTGCTGATGGACTTAGTGAGATGGAAAAATCCCTAAGCCTAGCTCTCACTAACAGATACCTTGGCTCAGGTTTCAACAACTGCCACATACCTGAATGCCTTTGTTTGCTTTTTCTGGCACAAAAAAACCCACCATTATTTGTTCATTCATTTTCCCATTTAACAAATTTGTTTTGAGTGACTATAAGGGGCCATGAAGCATGCTAGATGTTCAAGAAGCAAAGTAAGAACCTTAAGATTTCAATATTGGCTTGAGTGAAACCAGCACACAACTAATTAAAGTAAATAATGTGAACTATAATAGGATATGCACACTGTGTACAAAAGGTGGGAAAGATCATTTTTTGCCAAGGAAGGGATGTGTGTGTCATGAAAGGCTTCAAGGAGGTGCTCATCTATCTTGAAGACTGACTGGGTAGGTGGAGAAGTAAGGAAGGGTGAAAAATACAGGTGAGAAATACCCAGGGCAAAACAAAAGCACTCTGGGAACCACAGGCAGCTCAGCCAGTGATTTTACTCCCTTTATTGCTATGGATTGAGTACCTGTTATGTGCCAGAGCCTTATGCTAATTGATGGAGTTATAGGGGTCATTGTAGTATCACAGGTGTGGGATGGTGAGGTAGCAAAGGAAAACTAGCCAGGTTATGAAGAGCCTTGAACAACCATTTGACTCCATATTAGTATATATGGAAAAAGGTAAAAATGATATGTGAACCTGCTGCTACCAATTCCTTGATATTCATTGGAGCCCTTTTAACCATGGAAGGTATATATGGTAGCGGGCTTTGCTACAGACTGGGCAGTGTTGTCTTAAGGGACAGGTTAACAAATACCTAAGTGACAAAAACATTCACACTCAAGGAAATTCAAGTCTGAATAAACATGTGTGAAAATGTGCCATCTAATCAGTAATTAAAGAAACACAAATTCAAACAAGGCGGGACCAAGTACTGTTATTTCCCCATGTATAAAACGCTCCCATGTCTAAGACGCATCTTAATTTTGGGGCCCGAAATTTGAAAAAAAAATGTGTACATAAAGTTATTGAACTCAAGTTTTATTCATCATAAAATTCATACAAGTCTTCATCACTTGCGGGGAAATGCAAGTAAAAAATCTACAATCACTGTATAAGATGTACCCAGTTTTTAGATCCCAAGTTTTTCAAAAAAGGGTGCATCTTATACATGGGGAAATACGGTAACCAAGAATACAAAGTAAAACAACCTGTAAGCAGTTTAGGTGATGGGAAGGCAGGCACCTTAGAGAATCAAAAGGGTAAATGCAAAAACCTCCAAGGTAAGGGTTCGATGGAGAAGTGAGGATTCTGTGCTCTGGGCCCTAGAAGTGGCAAGCGCAAAGGTCACGAGTCACCGCACCAGTCTCCAGCACCAGGTGGTGAAGGAAGGGGCTATAGGACCCGGCGAGACCCATTCACCTACGCCAAAGGCAGGAGGTGGCAAAGCGCTTGAGCATCTCTAGGCAACTGATAAGCCCGCCCTCTCCAGAGTCAACTCTTCTGTAATTGGCTTATGAATCCACCAATGGGCGCACAGGAGGAGCTTCCCGCCGCCTCTTGGCGCCCGCTTTCAAACAGCCATACATTTGTAAGAGCAAGAGGACTTCCCAACCAAGCTCGGGGAAGGCGGAGACTAGCCTCCACGCCCCGCCCCGCCCCGGCATGGTCCCGCCCACTAGGGAAGCTTCTGGCCGGCGATTGAATGAGGCAGCTGCTCTTCAATGACTTCGGGCTCCGAAGTTCGGTAGTGACTAGGAAGGAGCTAGCAGATTAGAGTCAGGGTGAAGGGGTTTGCTAGAAGTTGGTCTTCGACAGGGGCTAGGGTTTCCCCAAGGTGACAGCATCCACAGCCTCTGGTGAGTTTCGCTTCGCGGCTGGGCTTGAGGGTGGAGTTAAAGGGGGTGCGGGGTCCTCGGGATTCTGGCTGAGGCTTCCGGGAGAGCTGAGCCACCCCCTCCCCAAATCCCGCTGGTAGACGGCTCGCGGGTTGCAGGACTGAGCCTTTGACTTTGAAGTGTCATCGAGACCCCAAGATCCTACTTAGCAGTGACGTCTGGGAGGTCTTTCTCGCCTCTTCTAGGCTTCTGGGGTAGCCCTGAGACCCTACCCTTGGGACACCCCCGTGGTCACTCTGGCGCTGCGCCTGGCTCACAGTGGGTGCTCTGTACACGTGTGTTGACTGAGTGCCTGTGACGCTGGCCCCCAAAGCCAGCCTCCCCAGGCATCCTGGGCTCTGTGCAGCTTCGGCCTCGTGGTACCTATTTGTTGTGCAGTAGTTGACGCCAAATGGAGTTCCTTGGTAAGGCCCTTGATTTATGCATTCGTTCAGCCTGTGGGTGCCTACTCGCTGCATCCTCTGGGCACCCTGAATCGATTTGTCGAAGCTGCTGCCATTAGCACTTACCGCAGATTATTGTCATCATTTGTTTATTTTCTTTCCCTCTACCACGTCCTGTTAAACTTTGTAATGTTGAACAGTGCTTGGTAAATACTTGTTGAATGAATGAATAGGCTTGCTAAGCTTGGTATTGCAAGTCTAAAACAGGCTAGTGTGCTCTGGCTGTTTCCATTCTAGAAAAGAAGCTAGCATGTAAGCAAGTAAGTAGAATTTACTAACTCTCAGAGCACTTATAAACCTCTTTTGGGGCACTTAACCTTTCAATCGTATAGTCATGGACTTGAGTGTGATTTCAGCTGAATTTAGCCATATCTTTCACAATGCATGACAATTTATATGCACTCCCTAGATATGTGAATGCATTCAACTAAACGAGAGCCTGAAATTGAAGTCATAAGAAAAGTATAAGCTATATAGACCGAAAGTGAAAAAGAGTTAATTCCATGGGAGAACCGGATTGGGAGGTCACCTTGAAGGGGGTGGCGTTTTTATCCCAGAAAGGGTTGCATTATTTGAAATGAGGTTTCCCACGGGCTGTATATTTACCTTTTCTCAGATATACTGAATGCTCGCTTTGTTCCTTTAACCTGTTTTGTAGCTGACAGATTCCCATTCATCAGTAATAATGTCATAATAATAACTAAACTAAAAAATATTGATTGGTATACAGTGCTAAGCACTGTTATGCATTATCTTGTGAATCCTCATAGCCATTCTTTGAGGTAGGTCTGTTTTTACCCTCATTTTAATAATGAAGACATGGAAACAATTTGCTCAAAGTTGCACAGCTGATAAACGGAAGAGCCAGAATTGCTCCCAGGTTGTCTGACTGCCCTCATTCTTAACCACTTACAGCTGTATTGTGTCCTTTAGGATGGCTCTATTTCCAATCAAGTCTTTCTGTGAAACCTGTCAGCCTTCCTTTCTTCTTAGGCAAAGTTAATGTTTGCTTTGTTACTTTTTTCTATCACAGAATTTATTACAGTGTATCATTGTAACTATTAATTTATATCATTGTTTCCCTAAGGGACTGTTGGCTCCCCCATGGCTGGTACCAAGTCTTAGATACACCTAGGGTATAACCTGGCATACAGTTAGGTGCTCGGTACAATTTTATTGAAATAATGAATCCATATAGGGCAACACATGTATTCTATTGATTCAATATATTTGTTGTGTGCCTACCACATGCAAAGGGGTGAGGAGACATTTAATTTCCCCTTCATAGTACCTACAGGCTATTAGATGAGGCAAAAACAATGCTACTTTTGATTTTTAATGTTTTGTCAAGCTGAACACCCACTGGTCTTCCTTCTCATTGCAAGGAGGGCAAAGACAACATAACCAGGAACAACAACGTGAGTGCTGAGGCCAAGCTCTTTTGATCTGAATGTAAAGGACAGAACATAGTCTTGTTAATAGGTTCAGGAAAAGTTATCTGTCAAGAAAGTATTAACTAGCTTGCTATTAAAATAAACCTACTGTACCCTTATTCTGTATCTTGATTTTTTTTAATGGTCAATCAATAAATATACAAATATTTAATTTATTAGTGGTGTCGTATTTCTAAATGTATTCAAAAGTGCTTTTAATAGGGCAAGTGTTTTTTCAGCATATTAATATTGATAGTTTTTGAGGTGGTATTTACAGTTTATGCTTTCATCAGCAACTCATGAGGATACCTGTTTTCTATAAAAGAGGCACCACTAGGTGTTACCAAGTTTTTTTCTTGTTTTTGTTTCAATTTACTGGTTGAAAATCGTATTTCATTGTTTAAATGACACCTCGAATTTTTGATGAGCATAAGCATCCTTTCAAGTTAATTGAGCATTTACATTTCTTTCTTTTAATGAATTGTCATGTCAGTTCCTATTTAAAAAAAAATTGTTTTCTTATTTCTTTGTGGGAATTGTATATTAGGACTTCGTCATATGTTTTGCAAATATTTTTCTCATTATTAATTGTTATTGTATCTTTTGACTTTGTTAGTGATGTATTTTTCCATAAATAATATTTAACTTATTAATGTTGCCTTTTGCCATATATAAACTTTTATTTTATCATGGTTAAGTTTCTGTCATGTTTTTCCTTTATGGCTTCAGAGTTTACTGTCTTGCTATTTTTTTTTGAAGTCTCTTATTGTTCTGAATAGTATAGTAAAGTCTCTGACAGCAGTGATAATTAGTAGTGGTCAATAAGCTGAAGAAAAGCATTACTTTTATTTTAAATTTTAGTTAAAATATCAATTGCCTAGTTAGTCTTTTTTTTTTTTTTCCACAATAAGTTTATCAAATTTCCCTTAATGCCTAAAATAGTTTCTTAAGGTCTCTGGTAGTTTGTACTTTTCAGAAGGAAAACTTGTTTGTATCTTTTCTTTCCCGGTGGAGAGAGATTTTGGTTTTTGCAGATATTTTCAGATTTCTTCTTTAATGACATGGTTTGAATTTAAAATGCCATTCAAGGAAAGATACACTTTGCTCTTTTACATTCTCTTCACTTAAAAATGAAAATACCTTGTAGAATTGATTACTCTCTATCTGAGAAAAAGTGGGCTCTTGCAAATCTTAATGTTCTTTTTTTCAATATTCAACAGAAATTGATGGCAGGTTAGTGAAAGACTAAAATAAACCCCATCCCTTCCTTTATCCAATAAAGGAGAAATTTACCCAGATTCCATCTTCTGGCTTTAACTGTAAAATGCAGGAAGAGGTGGAGAATACTATAAGAATCAGAGGCAGGAGAGTTCATGCCCACAGGATCCAGGGATGTCTTTAAGGTCCAGCTTCATCTCATTTCGTTTAGGGAGCCAGGATTTAAATGGACTAGTATTTTCTTTATCTATAGATTCTGTGGACTTGATGTTCACTTACAGTAGTGAAAAACCCCAGGGACATGAGCACGTGTGAGTGTTTTTCCCTCATCATTTCAGCTATATTATAGGCTCATCATATTCAGATCTCCATCTTATGCTGGCATAAAAGAGGATTCTTGTAGCTGCTGGGTGGAGAAAAGGTTCAGATTCCCCAAGCTTATATATTTTCCCTGTCAGTGAAAAAGTGCACATGCCCCTTCCTCTTTTGAGCCCTGGCACAGGAACAGCAAGGAGCAGGTCTGGTCCAAGAAGCAGAAGCCAAAAGCGTTTACTGCTGATGCAAGGAGTTTGAGTTGATAGAGTTGAAAGGAATGGGCTGGGTGCAGGCACCAGAGAGCAAGGGATAAAAATGGTGGGCTGCAAATTAGATTTTGGCCAAGAAACATAATTTAGTCCTTGAAAACCAAAAACTGGACATACGGGGGTTTCATCATTCAAAGTCATATTTGTGTTAATCTGTAATACCATATTTCACCTATTCTAATGTGCACATTTTCTTCTCACATTTTCACATCCACCAAGGCAGGCTGCATTTTAAAATTAATGATGTGTGTGCCATGATTTAATTGGCCACGTCTTTCTCTTGGTGGTACCCATGGAACCGTGTCATACAATCAAAGGGCGCCTTGGATCTGACGAAGTGGAATGTGTTTTGCTGTAGAGCTATTGGCTTACATAAACGTGTGTGATCATAGTTCTCAACCGTTAATATGAGGGAGTTGAGTCCTTGATGGTAAAATGCTTTTGGATGGCTGGGCCTATTGCTGCTTATTTCACGTCCAATTTAATGACATTTTAGAGCCTGAAAAGTGTAGCGAATGAGCTGTGTGGCTCAGGCTCACATCAAAGTGCATTTCGCTGGCTTGCAGACGAGGGGAATGCACAGAGGGCAGTATCAGGCTGGGTAATTGATGACGGCCTGCCTCCTTTTCTTGTCAGGATTGTTCAGAGCTTTGAAATTCTGAGCAGTGTCTGTGTAGTGTCATGATCCCTAAGTATAATTCAAATCATCAGCAGCCTTTTGACTGTAAGCACTTGAAAACCCATTTCCTGCTGCTGCTTCTGCCACAGCGGTTACCATTCTCTGGGGAACTTGTGCTGTTGCTTTTGGAATTGGAATTCCACAGTGGTACAGCTTCACAGCCTTCACTTCTGTTTTTCCTGAGTTTTTTTTTTTTTTTTTTTTTGCTAGATCCTGATTTTATCAAGTTATATGGAGTTTACCAGATTCTAAATGGTTTTTGGGTGGCAATCATTAACTCAGGATTTAGTGACTCTCTTTTTATAAAACATGAAATCTGGATGTGTGACATTCCATGGATGAAGCAAATTGTGGAGGACAGTAGCTGTGCCATATTGAATACATCAAATTAGAAACTTTGAGCATATTCTTAAAATTTTTATGTTTTGGCACATTTTTAGTTGATTATTATCTTATTTTTTGTGTGGCTGAAAATCTTATTGTTTTAGGTTATGTTTTCCAGACCATCTAGTCGTAAATTGATTAGCTTTTTGCAATTTTTTTCCCCATGAATTGCTGTCATATGGCTATTTTCTGTGAGTCACAATTAGTTTGTAAGAACTCACTTTATATTTGGGAGTACTAACCATTTGTTATACATAAGATGAGTGTATCTTCTTCCTGGCTGCTGTTGTCTTTTTGTGTATGGCATCTATTATATAGTTTGGTCTTGTGAGATTTTTGGGATATTTAGAAACCAAACATCTTTCTCTTCCTGCAGGAGGACCATGTCATTAGACTTTGGCAGTGTGGCCCTTCAGACACAAAATGAAGATGAAGAATATGACAAAGAAGACTATGAAAGGGAGAAAGAGGTACGTTGCTCAGAACTAAACAAAACTCTCAACTCAATCTTAAACAAATTTATCTCCTGATCAAAATTATGTCTTCTTGTGTCATTTTGAAGGAATTTACAATTTTTTTTAACCCCTAAAACCTAATCAGTATTTGGACTTGTAAAAGGTGGACGAGTGGAACACTTCCTTTTTTGAGGCAAGAATAAAACACAGCTGTGAACGATGCCATCAGACACATGGTTAGATTCTTCACGATCTTTTCATTTAGGAGGAAATAGCTGGCTTTGGAGGCCGAGGCCTAGGTCCTTGTTGCTTGGAACATGGCCTTGACCAAATCTGGCAAGGTTCTTTGCTTTGGGTAGCTTACATCCTAGTGGAAGCTGACCATAAACAAGTAAACATGTGAATAAAGTAATTTGAATGAGTGATCATTCAGCACTGATCAATGATAAGGAAACAAAATAGGGTGATGTTAAAGCAACTGGTAGGGAACTGGCGAGGGAAGTTATCTTGAAGAAGGAAATGTTTAAGCTAAGACTTATGAGAAGGAACCGCCATGCAGATGGTTGAGGAAGACTATTTTAGAGCAAGACACAAATGAGTGTAAAACCCTGAAGTTGGGAAGAGACCCTGTGTATCTGCAGAAGAGCCAGAAGGCTGTGGTGTTGGGATTGTGTGAGCAAGGGGTGAGTGGTGGAGATGGGGCAAAGAGGTGTGCTGGGGCCAGATCCTGGCATGTCAGGGTGAGGCATTTGTAGTTTATTCTAGGAGCAATGGAAAGCCAGAAAGCCAGTGGAGAATTTTAAACAAGGAAGTGGTATCTGATCATATTTTTAAAAGAGCTTTCTGAATGCGATGTGGTGAATAGACCAACGGATATAAGAGTAAGAGGAGAGTATATTTATACATAGTGTTTAACAGAATTCTTGACACATAGTAACTGTTCAGGACATGGTGGCAACAGTCGCCATTGGTAGAAGTCAACTTACTTGTTAGGATTGTTTTTGCCTTGAGTCACATTTCTTAATTATGATAACATGCTTTTTTTGGACTGAGACTATGCTTGATGTGACGCATTTTCTAATACGTAGAAAATCCTTTTTTTTTTTTTAAATTTTAAATGAATTAAATGTATTTAATACAAAGAACATTTTCCAACTCAAAGACAACTTAAGAAATAGTGAAAAGAAGAAGAATAGTAGAAATGTAGTGAAAAGCTAAACTTGAATTCTCATATTCAAAGGTCTCTGGTTACTGTGTGGCTATGAAGTGTAGCAAGGTGAAATTGAAAATCCTTTTTAATAATTACTGTGGCCCATTAATATTAACAGGGAGCAAGGAATAGGGTCCATTTCCCATGTCACTGGCTGTAGAGTTAGGGTAGGGATAGAAAACTGGCAGCTCAGTGGATTTTGTCCATAGACGTGTATTGTTTGGTTGCACATTGTTTTTGAAAAGTTGAACTATATTTAAAGATTGGAAAATTTCATGTAACAGTCCAGTTTCCAGCTTGTCTGGAGACATCCTAAGCCCTGGCCACATGTCAGCCTGTGTCTGCATATGGCAGCGGGTGGGCTTGGAGCTGAGCACTGGCTCTCCCTTCCCAGCTGGCCGCAATCCCCGCCTCTCTCTCTCTTTCTCACACACACACACACACACACACATGCACGCACGCACGCACGCACGCACGCACAAGCATGCACGTTTATGCACTTGGACCCGCCAGCTTCACTCTTGTAAACTCTCTGCCAGGTCTCCGAGGGCATTGGATTTTGTGACCCTGGCGAGGGTTTCCAGATTTTGACAGGGTCCTTCACAACAATTGTGGCAAAGATGGGGATGAAGATTTTCTGTTACTGTGTGAACTCACAGCATGAGGTTTTCATGACCCCGATGGCTTTGGATGGTTTGCTGGAATTTAGTTACTGGGGGTTCTTGAGAGGATACATTTAAGTAATTATTATAGTCCACTTTAAAGAAGAAGAAAAAATCTGACAGGTGATTTTTTTCATTGGAAAAGATATTAGAGGGATGGGTCGGGTATTAGAGAGAACTAAGTGTATGGTGTGGTGAAAGTTTTAAAGGGGTCATTAGTTAAGGAGCAGTTTTCTAGATAATACAGAAAAGAGCCATTGGAATCACCTTTTGATAGACCGTGTGCTGGAGTAGGGTATTTCCAGAGGTAAAGGAGCTCTTAAGAGGTGAAGTAGCTAAGAATGAGTGTTTCTAGCAGAGTGGAAGAAAAGGACACATAGCTAACTTGACTTGAACGTGATGATTATGGTTTAGGTTAATAAAAAGCGTTTTTACATTGTTTTAAACAATTGCTGCCAGGGAAGAAGTGAAGTCAGAGGCTGGAGAGTTTTTGATTTTCAGCAAAAAATTCAGAATTATTCATAAAAATCCAGTCATGTATGTATATACGTCGTCACTGCAAGTTAAAATAACAAATTGGCTGATCAAACCTAAATTTGTTTGCATATCCACAAGCTTTCCTAACCCTCCTCAGACTCCCTGACCCTATGAGAGCAGAGCAGTTCATAGCCATGAGAGGTTATCGAAATGAGTGGTTTTCTCCTGCCTTTCTGGCTGGTAGCTTTGGAATTGCAGGCTGGGTTATAAGTGTTAGCAGTAGGGGAAAGCATATGGCTTTCTCTACTTAGTGAATCACTTCGTATTCAGCTCACTTATGAGGGAGAAACGCCCGTATCCCCAAGGATGTGCTGTAGGGCTTGTCAGGCATGACATATCTGACTCACAGCCTACCTTACTAAGGACTTTGAGATCCTCTCTCTGCAAATGGCAGAAGAATCCTGATTTTGACCTTCTGATATGAATGGCCAGTTGCTAATACAAACAGGCTTTACCAAGCTGAGTTTTAATCTTGTTTGGGGTCAGTTGGGATGTTGTCCACACTTTCCCCTAAGTCAGTGAATAAGCATATTCAAATCCCAATCTCCATGCCATCCTACTTATAGCAGCGCTACGATTATCGTCTTGCCTTTTCCATTTCTATTCCCTCCATTGTTTGCTCTGAAGAGCAAATGGAGAAAATGTATTCAATCTTCCGAAAAAGAAAGGGTTTAATAAAGTGATTCAATAGCCAGAGGACATTTAGATCAGTGGAATCTCAAGCCATAGTCCACCATGAATAGACCCATATTTTGAAAAAAGTTCCAAGAATTTTGCAGAAAAGTAAGGCGTATATAATCATTTCTAATTGCTACAATTCTAAATGGTATGTTGGTAAAAGTTTGGCCACTGTGGGCCAAGGCATGGCAGGGAAGTGCTTAATCCAGTGTTTCACCTGCAACTCCATCTTCTATACAGTAAACAGAACCGATCAGGGTGCAGGCGAGCAAGGGTGATGATCGTGGGGATATGGTATGTCAGTTAACATTTGTACCACTCATAGTCTTCACATCTTATTGGAGCACATTGCTTTCTTGCTGTGTCATTTGAGAATTACTGATGTAGTTGTCCTCGTTGCTACTTAGTAGACTTAGTCCAATGTATTTTAGGCAAACTTTTACTTGTAAAGCTGGCCCAGAGAAGAGGAATTCAAACATTCTTTTATTAACTGATGTGATTTTACAAAGTATTTTTCACCTAAAGGTACTATACTTTGGGGTTTTATTGTCAGACATTACAGAAATGTAGTTGTTACTGTAATAGGAATGGTAGAATGGTTATTATGAGCTTCCAAGTGATTGATAAAGCCACAGCTTAAGGTAGATTGTCATTTGGGATCTCCACTTTGTGGGAGTGTACATGCACTCTGCTGTCACCAGAAGTACCTCTGTGATCATTGCTTGGTTCTAGATAATAAAATTTATGTATGTATGTAGGTATTTTGGAGCTGGTGGTTTGGGGGCAGAAGTACTTAATAATACATGCTATCAAGACAATACTTGCTGATGATGGTTCATTTAGTGATGATGTATTTGAAACCTGGAAAATGATCTTGAGTAGAGAGGTAGGTGATTTAAGTAGCAGATGACAGACAGAAACTTGCACCTGGCAGCACTGATTTGCGTCCCTCTTGGTTTTTATATTGGTACTCCTCTAGCAGAATCATAAAGCTCAATTGAGCATGGAATTGTGTATTTTAGAGGTAAAGTTCCCATTGCTTAGCCTTCCACTTTTTTTTATCTTTATTAAATGATTGAGGTGACAGTGGTTAGTAAAATTATATAGTTTTCAATTGTACATTTCTATAATACATCATCTGTATATCACATTGTGTGCTCACCACCCAGAGTCACTTCTCTTTCCATCACCATGTATTTGACCCCCTTTACCCTCTTCTATCACCCCCTACTTCCTTACCCTCTGGTAACCACTAAACTGTTGTCTGTATCTATGAGTTTTTTTTGTTTGTCTTTTTCATTTGTTGCTTTCAGTTTTCTATTCCACGTATGAGTGAAATCATATGGTTCTCGACTTTTTCTGCCTGACTTATTTCACATAGCATGATAACCTCAAGATCCATCCATGTTGTGGCAAATGGCACCATTTCATCTTTCCTTATGGCAGAGTAATATTCCATTGTGTGTATACACCACATCTTCTTTATCCAATCATCTATTGAAGGACACTTTGTTTCCATGTCTTGGCCACCATGAATAATACTGCAGCGAAGATAGGGGTAAATATATATTTTATGGATAAATGTTTTTCAGATATTTTGGGTAGATACCCAGGAGAGGGATTGCTGGGTTGTATGGGAATTCTAGTCTTAATTTTTTGAGGAACCTCCATACTGTTTTCTAGCCTTCCACTTTTTAAACTGCCTTGCCTGATATAATTATGGAAACATTTTGGTATTTTTGTCGCCACTAGAGGGAGTTGTAAAGCTAGTATGTGTTTACATTTTATATTATTCGACTTATTTAGTGGAATTTCCTTGTCACCACCCAAGGAAATGAAAGAAACAAATGGTTGAATATTCATGTTATATTTTTTTCTTTAGAATTTCTTATACTTTATCTAGATTGTGCCTTTTAATGTTTCCCATA